CCCCAAAACCCCAAAACCCCAAAACCCCTTGATTACAGAATTGAATGACTTTCGCGGAAAATATTAAAAATCATTATAAGTATCAAATATGAAAGAAATAATAACAGTGTCCCTTGGACCTGTGTCCAATTATACAAGCACTCATTTTTGGAACTTCCAAGATGAGTGGATCAAGTAAGACGCTTAGAGAAATCCAGTTCTGTTCTATGAGACGAAAAATTCACAACAATACGTTCCAAGAGCTATATTTGTAGACTTTAGACCAAATTTCGGGAACTTTCTATCTTGTTTCTCAAGATAAGGGTTAACTGATAAAAAAGAGTAAGTCTAAGAAATTGTACAAAGTCAGCTGTGGGCTGGCTAACTCTAAGTAACTGAGTAAGACTAAATAATGAAGAGTTCATTCTAGAGAGAACTTGATACTTATGACAATTACAATTATGAAAGTAGCTATATGGAGGAGAAAAAGCAAACAAATACAAAAATGTCTTAGATAAATGAAGAAGACGATGATGACGATTTAGACAATGAAGAATAAATGAAGAATAATTTCAAGGAGATGATGAGCAAGTATAAAGCAGGAGGTAGCTCAGTCTTTGGATCCGGTGGGCAAGGTTCTGATGTTATGAGTCAATTTTTCGGTGGATTAAATGGTCATAATTAATCTGAGTAGATTGATACTTCTACTGCTAAGGCTGCCCAGATAGCTTAAGACTAAGCTTTAGAGAATGAAAGAAGAAAACAGCAGGAAGATAAAACTGCTCAAGAATACTATGAAGAGTTCAAGTTTGAGGAGTAAGTAAATTATTTTACAGATTTTATGCAAAGCAAAATGTAGCCTGCTAACTAGTTGATACTACCAAACAATCCAGCTATCAATGAGGATAATTTCTTTTTCTACAATTTAGGTAAATAGATGTATGACTAGGAGACGCATTTACTAAGAGACCTTACTGAAGAGAGTCTTAGGAACTAACTGGAGCACAGTGATCTTTTGCAGGGCTTCTAATTTATATGTGACACAAATTCTGGCTTTGGTTCAATGGCATAGTTTATGATTTAAGATTATGTAAAAGATGAAGTCCCAAAAGCGCCTATTCTCTTATACTCCATAAAAAATCAAAATAAATATGATGAAGATGAGAATACTGTTTATAAGCAATAACTTGAACAGCTTAATCATGGACTATGGCTTAGTGAGCTGGCTACTAATTTGACTACAGCTTTTGTGCCTCTTGATGAAGTTACTATGACTTAATAATTGAATCAAAGAGTATTCTCTGGATTTTAAAACTAATCGAAGTTTCATCAGAGTTCAATTTACTCGATATTAATAGATAACTTCCTGAATGAAGCATACAAGAAGAAGCAGGCAACAAAGTTTGAAGATTTATTAAATGAGGTCCTGTATTAGTATTCTCCAAATATCTTATCTGCACAGCTTATGTTTCCCTATGAAATGAAGAATGATGCTCACGTAATGCAGGATATGAAGAAGGAAAAGTTTGATAAGAAAAATTTAGTTAACTTCTTTGAGGCTATAAACACCAATAAAAAGGGCAATTAGCATTTGATACCAACCAGGCAAAGTTATTTCTTTAAAGGAACTGAAACCCTTCTGATGCCTGGAACACTATCTCTCTCTCACTTCAGAGATTAATTCGACACTTTCGCTTACAAAAATCTTTAATGCTCTCGTGGTCATAATCTCTATACGATACCATAATCGAATCTATTACCGATTCCATTCCCAAGATATTTCACTAAGAATGTGTTCGATGAATTAGGGTTAATGAAATAATCACATTTTGAGAAAGATGAGTTTGTTGGTTCAGCTCCTTCTCTTACTAGGTTAACCTATGATGGAAGTTATTTTGGTCATGTGAAGAAAGCTCTTGACAGCATCAAATACATGAAAATGAGTCTCAAGGTTTAACTCAACAAGGACTATATGATGGAGGAGGAAGATATCAGGGAAGCCAAGGAGAGATTGGAAAATTTAGCTGAGGGACTTTAGGCTCTTAATTAATGCGGGAATGATAGCGAGGATGATGATGATGATGATGACGAGGAAAGAAATGCTAGTGATGATTATTGATAGATTGCAGCTGATATTTCAATTTTGAGATTAGCTATTGAAATTCACCAAGGTATTTTGATTGGCTCAATTTTAATTAATTTATTTTCTATTATAGATGACATTTTAGATTATTTATCTATGGGGTTTTGGGGTTTTGGGGTTTTGGGG